GCATGAGCGCCGCCATGACCTTGGTCACGCCATTCTCCTCCAGGGACTTCGGCTGCACACTGTCCACATATTCCTCATCGTCCTCTCCCGTCTTCTTCTTGCGTGGCCGCTTCGCGACGGCGGTGTCCCAGCCATCTGCATCGTCAATACCCAAAGCCTCGATGGTAGCATTCGACAACTTTGTGGCCCGCTCAGTCTGAGTTCTACCTCCGATAAAGCCTGTGCAGTTAGGCTCGCCGCAGTAACACGGTTGCGGATCTGCCCCGTAGCGGTCGACATTGTAGTTGAAGACGAGTTCCTCGCCAGCTTGAATGTGTCGTTCAGCAAAAATGCCCATACGAAGTTTCTCGCCAACAACCCACTTGTCGACATAACAATTGGGATTGCACGAATGGTTGCAAAACCGGCCGAGATTACCCTTTTTGGTCGCATCGACAAATTCACCCTTGCTGAGGGACATGAAATAAAAGTGCTTGATTCCCTCCTCGTCATATTGTCTCATACGGCGCCGGAATTGGCCCTCGTTGATGACCTCGCCAACATACTCAAAGATGAATTGGTGCGGTCGCAGGTCAGCCTCCGCCCGGAGACCGAACCCTTTCTTTTCCGTTTTGATCACCGCCACCGGAGCATATTCCCTTCGCTGGAATCGTTGATTCTGACATTCTGGCCCACATCCACAATCGCCCATGCATTCAATCTTGGTCGCGCGGTTAATGCAATCCGAGTCTTCTCCACATGCTAGATTTTTGGAGACCGACGGTTCTAATAATGGGTTAACTTACTAGGTCCGTAGGTGGGGGAGACACACAAAACGACACAAGAAATCAAAGAACGATCAGAAATAGGGGAAACATATCATAATAACAACTTGAAATAACAGAGTGTTCAGGTGGGAACAGAAAAGAAACAAAAAGGCAGGAGAGTAGACGAAGTGGCCGTTCCCACCCCTCAAGATGGGTTTGAGGAACGCCACCACGCGTAGGAGCCACACGGTGAAGCCAGCGACGGCGAGGTCGAGTAGACAAGCAGCACAGGAGATATCTCAGAGAAAACTCACCCCATTCCTCAGCACAATCGCATTCCATCGCATGTTCAGTATAACCCATGTATTTATTGGCGTACGTGCATGCGTCCATCAAGTCGAACGTCGCTTGAGCCTCAGCTGTGCTATCCGGCAGATGGGCGAACAACTGCGGTGGCCTTGGGACTACCTTCTGGGAAGAGCTCCGTGTTAATTTGGGAGGCTGTCCAGGCTCGAGTTTGACGATAATGTCGCCCCCGACTTTCTCCTCCACATTACCCCCATGGTTGTTCTCCGCCCCTTTCAAATTGCTTCCATCGTCTTCGTAGTTTTCTTCCTTCTTCACCAGGGCTCGAGAAGAAGACCGTGATCGTTCTGCCTTCGGGGTTGGCACGGGGGAGGCGTTGGAGGCTGCGTTTGACGATTCATCTTTGATCATGGCTCCTCCGCCGTTTGGCATGGCTGAGTTTTCGGGCGCTGCGTCGGACTCCAGCTTCATCGCGGTCACCGCATCTGCGACAGATTCTGATTGACGGTCCGCGTAGTCATGAGGGGACATGACGACACGGACGGAGCGCGCAACTTGTTCGGTGCCCGGTGGGAGATGCGCTGTGGCTAGATCGGAGGCCGCGCGAGAAAGTGGTCGCTGTGTTGCAGTTCTAGTCTCGTGGAAGACAAGAAGCAAAGAGAAGAAAAGGTAAACGGTGAAGTTCAAGAAGGGGGGCGGAAGGAGAAAAGAAAAGAAAAATAAAAAAAGAGAGAGCAAAGAAGGGAAAGTGAAGCGATGAGGAAAGCCTGGCAGAATAATTCGACGAGAACTTGACCACCAAAGTCGCAAGTCAAAGCATCGCCCACGTTTTCCGCGGATGCCAAGAATACCTCGAGGGTAGAAAGGGTCGAGAGCAAGGTTCCACGACCACCCAGTGTTAGCCGGGAATATCCTTCAGAGAGAACTGAGAGATTGAGAAGACATTCCTTTCAGTGTTATTGTCATTCTATTCTAAGCCACGGCGGTCTATTCTATGTCCTAGTCACTACCCATTCACTTCGACTTAACGATCCTGTCGCTCAGTATACAAACCCGTCCCCCGCCCATTCAGACCATGACAATAGTCCTTTCAGTATTGATATGTTTCTTTCAAGCAGAAAAAAAGGTCTAATCGGATATGCGAAGTTGATCACGCATTGGATTGTACCTCTATTCTCATTCACTGTGAATACATCGCTTTCACAGTTGAGACATCGGGTGCCTGACGCGTGTTATCATCCCAGCGAGAGTATTTGCATTCCAACTAATCTTAACCGAGTATCGCCCCAGCATAAACCACCCATGCTTAACTCGGGGTCCACTAACAGCCACTTGTTATATGTGGTTTTTTTCTGCCCTTCAGACCTCTGTGAGTCGTGAGTGTTCAATACTGTGGCTATCGTGGATTATGAAAATCTGGGCACCCGGTTTCACGGTGTCATGGTGCTTGGACGGGCAGATCTGGTAGGAATCATGTTGTCATAATCCCTAAGTAGGTGTTCGGCTCTGCGATACCTTCGCGAAAATCAGAGTGTCAGCAGAAGCACTAGAAATGATTCCTTTCTGAGCAAAGCTGCCTTTCCATGGAGTTATGAGACCTGGACATTGCATTCGGAGCCAAGATCAAGCCAACGACCGAAGAAACGGGAATGCAGAAACGGACTACAATTAATGGTGAAATGACAGGCCAGGCAAGACAAAACGAAGGGTATCGTAGGTCAAAGCACAGGGGAGTAACTTGAGATTCGTAATCCTGGGAGATACAGACTTACTGTACCATCTCATGTCCAGCTACCCCTTCCTGTCGCATCTTCCGAGGACGGGGCACCGGGTAGTTATGAAGCAGGAAGAGCGCGTGAAAGCTAAGACGACCGGCACCTGCAGATGGGGAGACGGAGAGACTGTCCTCCAACCAACTTGCGGTTCGCTTATGCGGGAGTCAAAATCATAGGCCACGAGACGCCCAAATCACCAAAGCTAGGGCTAGGGTCCGCCTGGCCATGCAGCTCCCTCTTCTAATCCTCCTATCCAATGGCTGGATGGTGGTCGGACGGAAGATCAAATGGCAACATGGATTCCACGGCCGGCGTACTGGACTCACATGCAGTGGAGAACGCAGGTAGAAAGGATCTGCAAGAGAAGCATTGGGACGCAACGCAACGACTGTACTGGACATGTCGATTTCAGAAGCATTTCTTCTATCGTGCTTCCAGACTGACGTGGTTCGGGGCGGCTAGCGATTGGAGGAGGCCGTCGCATTTTGGGTAAATACAGGCAGGATGTATATGCACTCCGTAGGTAGCGTAGCAGAGTTCAAATGAATGGTGGTCAGGTAGACTTAGCCGGAACGGATGGAGTCGAATGGGATCACTACCATTCTAATGGCAGCACTAGAGTAAACGGAATCTCCATCCGGAGCAGGGACGGACCTAGCACGGAGAACTCACTGGATGACTGGACTGATCTCGAGAATCCCAGATGCAGGCCGTCCCACGCCGGACGGAACGCTCCAATTCTTCTCGGAGTCCGTGCTTAGTTTGAACTTTCTTTCTGTGAAACCTTTCCTCTGAACCATGGGACCTGGCAGTGATCCCCAGCCCTTCAGCATTTAAAGTAAGGAAAGAGAGGGAGGGGCGAATCGTCATACAGAACCTGTGTGGCTAGTCAAAAGTAAGACGGGAGGTGATGGGAAATTGAAGCCACGAAAATCAGGATAGGACCATGCATGAACCGGTGTTGCCTCGATGGAATGGGTTGGATTACCACAGAGGAAGTTGGTCTGTATGTACTACAACACTATACTACTAGTATGGTATGGTATTGATTATTAGTATTATTATTGACTAGGATGAGGGGGAATTTGTTTTGGGGCCATTACAGAGAGAGTACCTACACATCTAGAGAGCCTCCCAGGTAACTGGTACCTATCGAGTATCTGTCTGGGTCTCACCAGTCGTGACAGGTACCTTTTTTTCAAAGCAAACCCACCAGCACTGATGTTCAGGCCTTGGGTTGTCCCTCCGGTGTACCCCGTTAGGTACACGGCACACTATAGTGAGATAGCAGAGACCTATAGCCGAGGATTATGGTATGTGATCCACATGCGTGCATTTCATCGCTGCTTAGGGCCAATGTCCCTCTCTCTCGCAGAACACCAGGTGCTTCTTATTATTTTCTTATATTTTTAGGGCTCATAGAAAAGGAAAGCATGAGGTATCATAATCATTACAAATTTTAGCTACTTAACGTAAAAAAGAGTGTGCGTAAGACGAGGAGGGAAATTCGAAAGGCGAGGTGAAATCATGATGGGCTCAATGAATAAGCGTAGGAATCGACTAACTTACTAACTAATGCAGAGTATCGGTGGGTTGTCAAAAGGCACATCTGTGCGCAGAAGAGGCAGACCGTCTTAGAAGATGGATCTTGCACCGAAGCGCAGGCTAATTCTTCCACACAAATATTCTCTAGTGGATATCATCAGTTGCCTTCTTCAGGAAGGTACAACTACATACTAGATACTTCCCTCGTAAAGTCTAACTAGTCATGCATCTTTAAATGAATTTTTCCGCTATACTCCCACACGGTGAAGTGAAAATAGACACTAAAGCATACACAGTCGTGCACATACACACGCACATAGAGGAGGAATACTATAGAAATTCTTGCAATTTGAGTCCACAGAGTATAATTAATATTAGGAAAGAGAATACTAAGGAATACTACCATGACAACGATGAACATTCCTGGCGAAGGGTGAAGATACGTTGGTCTGAAGTTAATTAACCTACTAGGGCGCCTAGTGTGCAAAGAACAGCATCAGCACCATACATCGGTCAAACTTGCGAAGACAAGCTCCAGAGACTGAATGATAATCTCCTTCGACACTGTGTAAACATACCGAACGTAGAAAAGAACAAATAGATCATAAGCTTATGATTGGATTATTTCATGTCAATTTTCTTCATCAATCGGATCTTTTCTCTAGAAAATTCACCACGATTTTACGCACCGCAAAGTTTCCAAGCCCTCGCCAGCGTTTACCGCAGTCTGGAATTTCCCTTCAGTTACAAGCGCTACGGGTACCTGAGGTGTGGGTCTGCCACCAATGTTCCCGCCTGCCAGGAAGTCACCGGTACCTCCGCGGCGGGTACCGAAGTGCTGGCTTACCAAACCAAACAGCGGCCAGTAGGGTAAGCTTACCTGGTTGCCGGAAGGTTCTACCTTTCTTAGTGGTAGTCTTCAGTGGTAACTACTACCAAGTCAGTATGGTACGGTCAGCGGTTAATTGGTTACAGACTGCGCCACAGGCCCCTCTGCCATTCCCCAAAGGAAAGTCTTCCTCGTCTCGGAACTCCCTTTGTTTCGATCTTCCCCTTTTCCCGCGATGTGCTTCGTTCTCTTGGTCGATTTGACCCCGAAATCCCCGCTCATCTCCATTACGGTACTGTTGATCAATGGATACGGTCGCTTTCCATCCTGGTTGTGAACGACCGTGATTCGGACTCGTCGGGGAAGGTCGAAGAAAGCCGGTGGAAACCCATCGGCCTCAGTGACAACCTGTCCATGCAGGACTATAGTGGACTACCATCTGACGGTTGATTCATGTTGGCGGGGCTTTGCTACTCCTGCATGGTTCTCGTGCATGGGCCATTGTCTGTCTCGATCCGATGTTACGATGCACAGGTGCAGACAGACCACTTTGCTTTCTCGCATTGCTACTAATAATACTTACTTGTTGGCCATCGCCCGATAATCGATCCGTCAAATGAAAATCAGCGGCAACATTACCTAGATCGTCACCACGATGACCTGACAATGTACTGTGTAGTACTAGCCGGCTAGCGAGTTCACAAGCGCGGTGGTATGAGCCCAGCCTGCCTTGTGGGGGAAGGCTTTTTGTCGGCTGGTCGGTCTGCTTCATCTCTTCCCGATGGATTTTTTTTGTTGTCCCTGAGCGCCCGCCGTTCCGACCAATTTGGCCGGGCAAAAAAAAAAAAAAAAAATAAAAAAGAAGAAATAATATGAAAAATAAAATGCAACCGAGGGTTTGGGGAATTGAATTTATAAAGAAGGACAAAATAATTTAGGGAAGAGAAGAACGACCGCAGAAATTGCTTCTACGCAACGATCCATACTGTGGCCGGCAGCTACCTATTGTTGTTGATTGTCATTTGTTATGGGGTTTGTTTTCTCCTTTTTTTTATCATATCCTACTGAGGTTCCAGAGAGATTCTCATCCCGGTGGTCTACATGAGCTCTCGTCCATGCACTCATCTGCTCCGATGCTAGACAGGATGAGCAACACTGTGAGTGGACTGGAAGTATCCAGTCAGACGGCTTAGTGTCTGGGCTGACCGTTCCGGAACATCCTTGCAGCCTTCGTTCAATCGCCTTCTGCACTAACGGGATCCATCCTCTCTACCCAGCCTCCAGGATTTTGCTCTCGTCCGCGCCTATTGCGGAGCCCAACACCCCCACTCTGCGGTTATCAACCACCTCCGCTGCTATCATTTTCTGCCAGTCATCGCCGGATGCATTCCCGCTATCGTGAATAGGGCCAATGCATGCTTCTGCATTTTCCTGTAACTGTATGCATTACAGTACCGCGGACTGACACAAGAGACAATTTGCTGTCGGGATGGATCGACCGCACTACCTACTTCCGGGCCCCAACCCCGAACCTCGTTCTCTAAGGATAGGAGAGCCTTCATTTCTGAGCAACCTGTCGATTCCAGGCCATTGACCCAACATCTTGGGGCGCCCGTACCCACCCATCAATAATGGTCTGTCGCCCATCATGTACCGTCAGAACGCGCTGCGTCCCGTGAGAGGGTCTTTTTGCCCCAGAGGAACGCCTCTTGACCCAGAGGCGGCAAGTCTTGCCTTCCTGGATATGCCTAGACGATCCTCTTCTGTTTTCTTCTTATGTTTTTATTACTATTATTGTTATTTTTGTTTTCCCTTTTATTTGCCCATGTTATGTTATTTCTTTACTTCTCATCTCATTTGCCATCGTCTTCCCAACTTCTCCACCCCTTATTTAGTGCACAGGACTTTAACTTTGTCTGATTTCGTAGCCAGGGCGTACAGCAGTAGCCGCAGGCTGTTGTTGCATTGCTTCTTCACGCCGAGTCGGTTTTGGTCTTGTGGCCCCCCTGCTCCTGTTACCCGTCCGGGTTTACATCGTTTCCCAGCTTTCATGCATCTTTAGCCTTTCGCTGCTTTTTTGGCACCCCTCCTGGTCTTATTCGAACTGGCTCGGAAATTCCAGAGCTAACGCGCCCCTCCCGGTTGAGCGTGCGGTTGGCTTTCCTCCCCCCTCTCCCCTTCCCCTCTACTGCGAATGCCACCGACACTTGATGGCATTTGAAACCATCGCTCTTGAAACACTATCCTCTTCTCGGTAGCTTCCGGTCTAGTCCCTCTCTGGCAGTTTGGGCTGGGGTCCGCTGTCCTTGATTCGAAAGTCACTTAAGTTCTGACCCCATTGTGGCTCTCTTTTCGTCCTCGACTCTCCAAAAGTCGCAGGTCGCAAGGTAGAGGGGAAGCTAAAGAATAGGAGTCCCTGCAGCCTTCCTCTTGCCAACCGGCCGCATGTCTGGCATCTGCACCAGTGCTCTCCTGCGCAGCCCCGACTTAAAAAGTCCGTTTGGCTAGAAAACGTTTTTGAGAGGGTACGGTGTTACCTCACTACTGGTCGAGCGTCTCTCTTCCCCCCTTTTCCCTCTTCTTACATTCGTTTTCACCCTCGAGGTGGTACCAGTATGCACCGTTGAAACTATTCATTCCAGAAATCCATTCGATCTCCAGCGACGACGGCGGCCAACTGCCCTGACGTTTCTCTCTTAGGGCCACGATCCACTTTGGTTCCATCGTTTATTTTTATCTCCGTTCCCTTTTGCCTTCTTTTGATTTTAAATTCTTTATTTTAATTCCCCTTGTTTTCTTCTTTTTTCGTCCTTTTGGAACCTTCCCAGGCCTTTGTTTAACGCGGTGACCTGAATCGCAGAGGCAACTGTTATCCATTCGGAGGTGTTCCTACTGGGTTGTTTCGTTTCTATAGCCTCTCCTTACGCCGTCTACTCTTGATTCTTCTCTTGCGATCTCTCATGTGTTTTACTACCCCGGTGAACGATTTTCTGACTTTCAATGTCTGCTATTCAACCCATGTGCATCGGCTCATCTTCCTTTCATTCGTTTGCTGACCATTGCTTTGACCCTCTTCCTCTTTCTTGACATCGATTCGCTGCTCTCCTAGCTTGCTTTTGCATCTCTATCTAAGAACCCACGTGTTGATACACTCACTGGTGTAGACGCATCGTTCCATTTGGGAGGCTCCGTGGCAATTCTGTTCTTCCGTTTTATTGTTTCCCTGCTCTATCTAAGAACCCACGTGTTGATACACTCACTGGTGTAGACGCATCGTTCCATTTGGGAGGCTCCGTGGCAATTCTGTTCTTCCGTTTTATTGTTTCCCTGCTCTTGTTATCTTTTCTCCGGTCCCTTGTCGACTCGTGCTTGGTGCGTGTCAACCTGATTGGCGTTGTGTTTTGCCCTTCACTGTTCTACATCCGTAGTCGCGTGACGCGTCACTCTTTATATTTTGCTTCCAGTCTAGATTCTGGGGTCAGTTTTACATTCAGTTCGCGTGTTGGGTTAATCCTCAAGCAGGGAAACTGCCTCATTATACTTCCATGGTCTGCTGGCTATGTCGAATCAACCAGAGAGGCCATGGACTGAGGAGGAGAAGGTAGGATTTCCAATTCTCGCCCCTCTGCCGTCGCAATCACCGGTGCTTTCTGCTGACGGAGGTATGGCTCTAGTATACTCTGCTTACGGAGATCTTGAAGAAGGCCCGAGTGCCTTCGAGCCATCTTGTCAGAATGATCAGGGATTTCAACATTACCCCAAGCTGGGCGGATATACCCCTTCCTCCAGGTACAGATCCGCCAGCACCTTCCGCTTGTCCTCTGCCCCGAACAGCTTGAGTTAATGCGACTCACCTCCTGTTCGCATTGACTGGGACGAGGGCATTCTTTCATACGTTGGATAGTTGACTTAGCATTGCTGATCTGATTCTGTCCAGGTCGCTCCCTCAACTCCTGCCAAATAGCGTTCTGTAACATGCTGCAACATGTCCAAATTTCCGTCACTCACAGCCTCGGCTCGATTCCTCCGCAACCCCATGAACCTTCCGTACCAGCAACCGTCCCTCTAGAGAGCAGTAGCGTCTTGCGCAAGAGGCCCTTGATTCCTTCTGACAGAACAATCCGTGCCCCGCGTGCGATACAACCACGCCCTGCGACAAGCACCGCTTCCTACAGTAGCGAAAGTGGAGCTTCGGCCCTCTTGTCTCCAAGTTCAGAGAGCGTCACTGCCAGAGGAGAGCCTCCACGGAAGCGTGGACGGCCTAGTAAGGCGGAATCGGAACGGCGCAAAGCAGCTGCTGAGGCTCGTGGAGAAACGTATCCACCCCCACGGCGGTCTGGATCCCACAAGCTGAAAGTTTCGTCTACGCCCACTAGTCCCTCCGGAGTCGCGCCAGGGTTGCCGTCATTTTCGCCCCAGGCGAGCAGTAGTCGGCCACAGGATTTACCACGACATGAAATGCACTACGTTCCTCCGCCAGGGAGGCCAATTCCACTGATGGGGCCGAGTAGCGACGAGCGACCGAGGGATATGCCGAATCAAGACATGAGCTCTTCGATGCGAGAGCTACCACGTCCGGAGATAAGACAGACTTTGCCATCACCCGGAACCCTACAGTTAGGTCATAGAGAAACACCACTTATACGAAGGGAACCGGGGGTGTCTTTTGAGCCTCTCCCACCAGACAGACATCCTTTCTCCCAAAGCAACCGGAGGAGTCTCATTCATCCTACTAGCAGATATCCAGATGAACCGCCCACACCAGCCTCTGATTTACCTATATCCAGACCACCAGACCACAGGCCGGAATGACATAAAGAATAAGCACACAGCGTCTCAGATTTCCCGAATAACTATGGCATGACAAACGAATTACAACATTGAACATGAATGATAGTTAGCATTGGTTCGGATTTTCTCACCAGCAAATCGGAATGTAACGAAAGCAAGGCAATGAGCGCCACATCCTTCATACGTTATTTCTTCTTCTCTCCCCATCTCACATTCTTGCGTATCGGGGTCCCGCTCTTCGGCGGGGCGACTTGATGGACAATTTGATTGCTCATGCTTGGCGGATTGATATGCCTATAACCGAGTTGAAGCGTCCGACAGACATGTCCAATTTTGCTTTCTCTGGGCTGGCTTAACTTGCGCATATCTGGCTGAAGCTGTGCAAAAGTCGGTCAACGCCGTCACCAAGTCCTAATTGGTCCACTTTCCTTGATCAATTGCCTGCGTTTTTTCTTTCCTTATGCGTACATGCACCTTAATGATGCACTGAATTGATGATCTTCCATGCATATTGAAATCTGCACATCATCGGGCTTTCGGAGCACTATTTCAAAGTCTCCATTCAGACGAACATTATGAATATGACGTGACCTATTGACATTACTTGTTTTGGGCATAATTTTCCTTGTCCTGCATCATGTGCCCTCTCTCTCCCCCCTCTCTTGTTGGCATTCTTCCTTCTCCACTAGCCATCTCCTCCTCCTCCTCCTCTTCTTCTTCTTCTTCTTCTTCTTCTTCTTCTTCTTCCTCTTCCTTTATTTCCTCGACCTCTCCGCTGTCTCTGGGCGTGTGGTCTCCTATGGTCAGGACCTAATATATTGTATAATTACTAATTTTTTAGTGATCAGATCTTGACAAGGTTGTATGTACAGCTTCTCAGCTCTTTTCTCAAAAGGTCATCGTGCCATTCTGGAGAAAGACAAACGGAGGATCGAAAGAATATGAAGAGGAGCAAGCACCATCAAGCACAGCTCCAAACCCGTAGGCGCCAGATTCAACATCACTGGTCTTGGCGCGTTCCGATTTCTTGCACGCCGTAGTATGTATTTTCGGAAATGAGCACGCATGTCGAGCTTGTGGCTGGCTGGGGAGGTTTCATCTCGTCGCCAATATTGATACCGAGTGTTCTAAGGATTCTACATTACACTGATATATCTATGCGTTGTCAGAAATATGATCTGACATGACTACAGTGGGGAATGAATGTGTCGCCAGATAATTTCTTTCTTATTTCTGGCTGCTGCATGCATTGGCAATAATGTTACCCTTTCTATCTATTATATTTAACCATAACTCCGTAGTTGCCCGCTGTCAACCTGTCTGTACCCAGGGCGGTACCACCATCATTCTCTCAATCACGGATCCTGACTACTCCTAACCCGATCAAGCAAGGACTTTAGCCTGATTGACGAGGATGTTTCTGATGGATTCGATGTCTCAAGGGCACTAGTAGTGGTGGTGCCGGCCGCCGCAGACAACGATGCGACTGGCTCCGGATTACCACCAGAGGTAGATGGCGCGAATTGGCGGAATGGTGCCGGTTTTTGATTCTCTGCAGCCTGTTGTGCTTTTTGTTCTTGTTGCCGTTGTTGTTGCTCCAGTTGGAGTCTGATAGCGCTGACGGCAGAGCTCAGGCTTAGGCCTGTGTTCTTTCGGCCCGATGCTATAGCTGAATCGGGTGTATGTTGTCCTACAAGTTTTTTCACATCGTCTCGTCCTTCCACGCGCCGGGTGAGGTACATCTTGGGGATGGTGCCTTGTCGGGGGAGGGTACGGGTTCGGATGCGTTCTATTTCTTGTCGATAGGCGGTCTCGTAGATGTCGAAGTCGGCGGCTCCGGGTGACTCGCTTACGATCGGGTGGGAAGCGTCTATATCCATCTCGTCGGGTTCGGCAGATATCATGGTGTCGGGTTCTTCGAATATGGGATCGGTGTCGGGATCAATGTTGGATTGGTTGGACGAGCCGGTGTATGTTGATGGTCCGATGTATAGGAACGGAAATTCCTCCTCCAGGGGATCGCGTGCGTGGCCACGGGTTCCTTCAACGCTGCGTTTTGTGGTGACCGAGCTTGCTCGGGATAGCGGGACGAAAGGAGATGGGGACTGAGGGGTGGAGTTGGGTTGGAAATCGTCAATCGACCCGCCGGCGATATTGTGACTGCGAATAGACCCGGAATCTTTCCGTTCAGGCTCCATTCGGGATGCATTCCTGCTATTGCTGCCTGATGCAGGACCGGTTTTACCGTGATGGCTGAGAGACTCGCTGCCGTCGGTAGGCTGGTTGGGAATTAGATCCTCGCGACGCTGATGGAAGCCTTGCAGCACGTTGTCACGTTCCCAAGGTCGTCTATTATACATGTTTAGACTTTGGCTCTTGTTGAGGATGGGCATATTGCCGGTGGCCGTGAAGCTCTCCTCTGGCTCCATCTCCATAGGAGGCTCAACAAAGTGCGTTTCGTATTCTTGACCAAGTATACTCTGCATGGGTGGGTCTGCCTTTGCCGGGTCGATCAGCCTTTTGAAGTGCGTTACCGCTTTGATCTATCGGAAATGTTAGCCTGAATCTTACCAGCCACGATAGTAATATCTGCAATGAGGGTGTCAACGTACCACGGCCATGACATGACCAATATTCCTCGTAATGGCGGAGTTCATCTCTTCTTCTGTGGGCAGACCGACGATCTCAGCGGTGTTCTCGCTCTCAGATAAAAGAGGATCAAGCCCATTCTTGGTCACCCAAGGGTGTTCCTGTATGCAGTCTATGAGTAAGACAATGGCGTACAGACAGCGTTTATGTTTCACCTACCCGCAACTCCTCCATTGGTATGCGCTTGGCCGGGTCTTTTTCAAGGATTCGGAACATCAGATCCTTGAAATTTTCGTCGGTCTCTCCCTCGCATACAACAGGGTCGTTCTTGATGGCTTCGTAAAGCTCAAAGATGCTTTGCTTCTCAAACGGGAGTCTACCATACCGAAGGCAGTAGAGTGTGACCCCCATAGACCATATGTCCGTGGCTTTGCCCGAGACATCACCGTGTCTCACGACGCACAGTTCCGGCGGAAGAAAGGCAGGAGAACCTGCTGACTTTGCAGTGAACATGTTTGAATCCTTCTCGAACATCTCCGACACTCCAAAGTCAACGACCTTCAAGACATCGTCACTCGTCAATAGACAGTTGTCCGGTTTGATATCTCGATGTACGATACCCTGCGCATGTAGATATTCGATTCCTAAAATCAGATCGCGGAACCAACAGCGGCATTGGTCATCATCATAAGGATCGGCTCGTTCCTCGAGCCCGACCTTCATGATCACTCCTTTCTTGCACATCTCCATGACCATGTATAGCGAGTCCTCTGTAGGATCATCGAGGACTTCTATTAGAGACACAAGGTTATTGTGATTCAGCTTCTTCATGATGGCAATTTCTTCCTTGATCAAGTAAAGGGCGTTTTCCTTGTGCTCATCCCCACCCGGCGCGCGGCGATGCAGCGGGGAGTTGAATCCATCTGAAGGACGCTTAGGGCCTCGAGGCCTGCGCAGAAGATGCGACTGCGCCCGTTTCCGTAGACGAGCCTTGGAGAATTCCTTTACAGCCTGAACGGTACATTCTCGGTCAGCTTCTTCAGGATATAGCCGAGATGATGTTGCGCAGGGACAAGTACATATTCGTTTCCAAACTGGTCAGTGGCAAGATGCACCGCTCCGAATGAGCCTCTGCCGATCTCCTGCTTGATCACGTATTGATTGATCCGGTGCTCAGCAGTGCCATCATCCTGGCTGGTATAATACTCGGATCGAGCATTAAGCGTTTCCTAGCAACAACAGTTAGCAACGGAGCTATACAATGAAGAGGCAGACGTAGTCATAAGCGGTAATCAAAGAACACATATGAGAACGCATGAACAAAGCAATAAAATAAAAATAAAATAGAAATAACCTACCTTGACTGGGCGCCTGACTATCGGGTTCCGGCGATGATGTCTCTGGGGGCTTTCGTATGAAGGGGTGGAACTAATTTCCGAAGTCGATGTGAATCAGTATCCCCATGTAGGAGCATCCGGGAAGAATGAACGATTGAAGAAAGCCAGAGACAGGCCTGAGGGCAGTTTGGGAGGATGAGACGAGCAAAGCAGTGCAACTCACACACAGCGAAAGGGCGGCAGAGGTGGCCGCTCGGTGGTGATCGGACTGGCACCCTGCTGGGGGAGCTCGGCGTCCCCTGAGGCCATTGGAAGATGTCGACGACGGAGCACCCGCGGCAAGGATTTAGGGGCCCGAGTGTTTCACACAAAGATCGGAACTTGGCTGTCTTGGTTGGCTGTGACAAGGAGAGGAAAAATGACGGTTGCCTGTGATGAAGTGTGGGGAAAGATCGGGGTTTACGAGGCGATGGAGATAAGCAGCCGTTGCGCCGAAGTCACGATTTGGCAAGAGGGACCGGCTGAAGAAGGTTCAGTGTTGTGGAACAGGGGACTCCAGAGGAGGAGGAGGAGGCGAGATGAGGGAAGATTTGTTTTCTCCTCGAGGGTGTGGCGCGAGATTAGAGACAGAGTCGAAAGAGAGGGAGAGAAACAGATCGAGGGGGGAGGAGGGTGGGATTGAGAGGGGAAATCGTGGATGGTGAAGAAGCAGCAGCAGCAGCAGTGGATGCCCAGGGCAGCAGATTTATGTAAGGCTGATACTAAGCATTACGAGGCGTCAAGCCAGTATTTCTCCGGGGAAATAGTGATAGGCACGATTTATTGAACATCCAAGCATCACTTGTCGATCTGCTCGATATATTCCCAGCCTACAGCCCATCAACCACAAACGGAATCTTCAAACCGGGGAGTTCAGTATAAATCGGATTGTTTTTTTTTTGTTTTTTGGATTTGGATCGAGAATCCGTGGATCTGAGCGACTCACCGCCCACGAGTAAGATCCCCGAGTCTAATTCAACTGATCAGCTAACCTTCTTCTCCCCTTCTTTCTTCCCCCCCCCCGTCGTCAGACCCGCCTCGATCTCCTTTCCTGGGGCTTATCATCTTGAATCTCTATCGCCGGAAAGGAACATTTCAAGCCACCTCTGCGACGCTCCAAGGATATATACTCTGTCCTCTTTTTAATCTGTTACTCTTCCCTTGTCGGCACTATGGTTGTTTACTCCTTCTATATCTTCGATCGTCATGGTACCTCCCTCGCATCCATCTCTCCCTAGCCATTTCAATTGACGTTGCTAACCACGTCTCTCCCTTCCTTCTAGCTGAATGCATCTATAATCGGCGCTGGCTGCCACGCCCAACCTCCATGACAGGCAGCAAATCATCACGACCGACTTCCGAGACATCTGCTCCGGGTCTCCCCGCAACATTAGGCCAAACTGCGCGCGCCACGGACGACGATGCCAAGCTCATCTTCGGTACTGTTTTCTCCCTGCGCAACATGGTTCGCAAGCTAGGAGGCGAGGACGACAAGTAAGGACTCCACCCTACAGCGACGAGGCAACTCAACTGGGAGGACAGTCATTGACCGCTCGGCCACGTTTATAGCTTCGTTACCTACCGCACTAGCCAATACAAGCTCCATTACTACGAAACGCCGACCAATATCAAGTTCGTTATGCTGACGGACCTCAAGAGTCCAAGCATGCGCGTTGCTTTGCAGCAGATCTACATCAATCTATACGTCGAATACGGTACGCTCTGGCTAGTTTAAACGATGACCTCCTCTACAGCTGTATGCTGACCACCTCTATTTCTAGTGGTCAAGAACCCGTTATCTCCCACCGAGCATCCAGGTGGCATTGGAGTGAACAATGAGCTCTTTGAAGAGTCTCTGGAACAGTTTGTGGTATGTGCCATCAACGTCTCCTAGGCGGATGTAATCTAACCTACAGCAGACTCGTGTTCTATCGTGAAACGGACTTGGATATAGATGAACACTCTGTTCGCTCATGGGTCTGAGTCGAACTGAGCCCCAGGCTTAATTGTCAAGCCACCACAAACAAGCATCCATGTAATAGCGGAACAGCCCGTCCTGCATCCCTATGACATCAGAGTGCCGTCGTGCGGCAACGGTCCGATGCGGCGGATGCCTTCCCCGGAGTCCCTTTACGGTCGACTGTCGACACACGCCGCAAGTCCGTTACTCGAGCCACAAAGTGTCAGAGCTACATCAGCGCATTGCTCGCAGACCTGAATCGAAACCCGACACCGGGCCGCGTCCGGCACAGACAGCGACCAAACCAGGAACAGGCACAATCTCATGGTCATGAGGGTGAAACGAATTTATGACTTCACGTCTTATCATTATACAATTTCCATAAATGAAACATTAAGAGCATACATGTCCACCCAATCAATCATAATTCATCCTCCCAACATAATTTACACACATAAACATCACATTATATCATCCATCATAACACCATGTACCATGGCGTCAATCAAGCATACCGAGTACTTGAAGTCCCAACATTTCCATACAACACCTCATCCGGCAAGTCATCCTCATCAGGACCCTCGGAATACTGGTTCCGAGTCTGCGGCTTCGCGCCCCTCGTCCTTCCTGGGATCACATTGCTCTGATCAATCGCCTCGTCTTCATCTTGAGCTGTATCCACAACCATACCATTAGCATGTATCCTTAAAACCATACAATTTTTTAAAAGTCCACAGAAAAGGTAAAGAGTTGAGCATACCAAGCTGCTGGTCCGTGTTCGAATAAGGCGGCTGTACCGGATCCTCATAGGGTGCCTGGTCCCGGGCTACGGGGACCTGGTTCCTCAGACTCGATTGCGTCTCATGCGCGTACGAGTTGTCGTGGAAGGTGCCGGACACAGGGGACGGGTCGTTTTCGTCCTCGTAGAGGTCTTCGGCTTCGCGTTCGTAGCGGTTGGACATTGTGATTGCTTAGCTTCTATAGCTTCTTGGTATGATTTGATTGATAGAATTGTTGAAGATTTGGTTTAAGAAAATGATACTCATTCGGGAGATGAAGGGGGGTATTTATATCTTATTCTATACAGTGATGGAGGGAGGGAGATGATGGGTTGATGCAAGATTGATGTCAGGTTGATGGGATGAGATTGGGTTTGGGTTTGGGGTTTAGGTTTGGAAGATGTCATTTGTTTCATTGAGTTGGTGCTATTTATTTGCTCTGCTTGGGGGTGTTGTATTGCAGTATCTCTTGTGTGATAATACTGGGATACGATGCTGTGCTACAGGTAGGTCAAGTGTGAGAGGGTTGAGGTGATTGATTGTGGGGATGGTGATGGTGATGGTGTCACGACATGCTTTCAATCGTCATCTCTGGATAGAATACAGTGTAGATGGATGGCCAATTGTGTAAGGCAGCATGCTGCTACGTGCTACTGCTGTGCAGTTAGTTTGTATACACATGGTAGGGCTGGTTCGGCTGAAGCGGGCGAACCAAACGTAGCAACCCCCCAAACAGCAAATCAGCAAATCAGCATCAAAGCCAACGGCTCCCACGACAGGGAAATCAGAAAGCTCTAGAAGCTACAGGTTGGTTCGGCATCATATCAACCATGAATGAGCTCAAATGGCGGGAATGACATCGCCCTGACTCACCGTGAAGTAATTCGCCACGGCCTGGCCAGAACCTTTGCTCACTCACCGCCGCCCTCCCTTCTTCCGCCGGGGCCTATCGGTCTGAACCCATGTTTTTTTGGTGTTCCTGGCTTTTGTTGATGAGCGATTTGCAAGACACCAATGGCGGCATGCCCGGGGGAGACGTGACGGGATGTGGTGTTGTTGTTCGCTGCCTTTTCTTCTCCCGTCTGATTAAAGGCCGCTAACTATATGTGTCTTACCTAATCAATCCCATCGCACCAGGTATGTGCACACACACATATACCACCAAGATCTAATTCATGACCCTATTTTTAACAAACTGCTATTTGGCATGGTTCATCTGACTGTTTCTTCCTTCCGAGCGAGGATAACCGGAGGAGAGAGGCAGGCTGTGTTCAACGGATCGGATGAAGCCGTGCGCCAGAACACGAGTTGTGCTTGTGCCAAGTAAGCTCAGCTCTCGGATTGAGTGAGTGACTCACGGGACGATCAACAAAAAAAAAAAAACAAAAAGAAAGTTGTTGAAGATACGGTCAGAGGGACTTGGGCCGTTTCTGGTCTGCACAGCACGGGCAGCTTGGCTGTTGACTTTCTTTTTTTTAGAGCCAAGTCTATACTCGGTCTTTGATAGGTGGGCTTGTTGTTTTCGTCACGGATTTGCTGGACAATTGAATCGGAGAGCAAGCCGTTATGTCGAGTCAGTCGGGAGTCGGAAGACAAGAACACATATGAAGACGATGTCCGAGATGTTGAAACTATTGTGGTTCGGTTCAGCTCAGTTCAGTTCAGTTTCTCTCTCCGCATGATCAGGATTTATGTCTCCGATTACAATCAGCTGATACTTAAGACTCAGGATGTGCCGTGTTGCCGAACAGATGCGAGTTGTCCTTCGACATCATACCTAGTCGTAGATAAATAGTCAATGAGCTGGTTTCTGTGTGAGTTTGGGCAAGTTAGTAGTTAGTTGGGCATGTACATTGATCCTGACAAAGCAGCAGCAGCAGCAGCAGCAGCAGCAGTTGTCCGATCGTCGGGCAAAGGAAGGAAGGGCAATTCCGGGAGTGCTGCAGTCAGTCCCACACCGTCCCTTCATAATGAGTTTCACACCCACAGCCATGGCAGCACCTTGTCATCTGTATAAGGAGAAACGAAAGCAGCAGCAGCTTAATCTGGCTCGGGAAAGGAACACGCGGATGCGACGAAAAGCTTGAACCGGCTCGCTCGTCCAGTCATTCGCCTTCTCGGCTAGTTTACGTGGAGAGGGATCCTAGAATGAGAGGGCCAACAAACTAAACAGTTAACCTCCCCACTGCTACCGTAACCCGGGCGAATGAACCCGCATCCCAAGCCACCACTGTCTCCATTCTCGCTGTTGGATTATGGACGTTGGGTTGGACGGGGTGCGCGGAGTCCGTGTGCCTGTGAAGTCATATCCCGCAGTGGAATGTCCAACCAGGGGAAAGAGAGGGAGGGAAGATACGGGGGATCCTAAGAAGATCGTCTTTGGAGATAGGAAAGGAACAACCAAAGCATTTTAGTTAGGTAGAGATAGTGAGCAGCTGTAGCTTGGGTTTCTGCTGCTGCTTTATGCTGCATTCTTTTGCTGAATAGAACCAATTGCATGGTCCGCAAGGACGTCTCTCAAGTGTCTCGACTAGGCACTCTAGATACCGGGTGACTGACGGGTGGTGATCAACCATGCGGTGGCTGTCTGGATCCCGCATATTGGAGGGGGAGGGGGTAAATACGGAGCAAGCAGAATGACGATGAAATTAAGGATGTTCGGGGATCCATTTCATTATCATACCACATGGCAAGTTTCTCTTTCCCGCCACAGAATGGTTCAGCCCGCAATTGATCGCTGCTCTTGGATTGGATCTTCACCATACTTTACAGGGAAGGGAGAGGGCAAGAGAGAGAAGAGGAGCAAGTAAGTCCCCCGTATTTTGGCATTACGAGAATCCCGACCTCTTGTTGACTGACACTATTATCCCCGTCACCAGGATCCATGCTCATCTTTCATCAATCGGGTGGCGGTCGCCAGTCTGGCAGTTCGATCATCCCATCAATGCGCAGAGAGAGGGAGAGCAAAACGACAAGGGCTGAGAAGCATGGGTGAAGTATTATTCCCTTATTGCTCGCGAAATGAATCGAATCGAAATGAAATGAAATGAAATGAAATAATGGTGTTGTCTGATCGGAATACTAGCGGTCAACCAAGAGCTCTCTCACTCTCTTTCTCTTCCTTCTCTCTCTTACTAGATAGATTCCTAGTAGATGCCTGCCTAGGCTTCACTACCTGACGGGATTTAGCTCTAGCTTTGGCAGTGTTTCCCGTAAGTAACAACAATCACCATGCCATATTGCCATCAAATTGGCCGACAGGTGGTGCCTAAGTCAAGTCCGACAGACCCTACTTAATGTGTAGTGACCTACTTCCCCCTGCTTCTCTAATTAAGTCCGTTTCTTCCCTAGTACGGAGTACTCCGGACTTATTCTCCATCTTTGTATCCATAACCAGGCTGGGGTTCGGCCGGGTCTTTTTCGGCAGGAAGGGGAAGGATACATACATAGTTACTAGTTAGTTAGTAGTTGCACGCGTACCTCATCCGTATCCATGGAACAAAACATTCACATCCACTCGTGGTATTTTCTTAGCCGGAAACCGTATCGGAAGGCGGTTGTTCCTCGTTTCCGAAAAGTTTTCCTCGTGGAATTTCCCCTCTCCTCCCCAGTTGGTTAGTTAGTTGGTTGGTTAGCTATGATTGCCAGTTCACTTGCTTCACTCAGTTGTTCTAGTACACAGTAGTAGTGTTCAATCATGCTTTCTCCTTTTCTGTTTTTACTTTTCCTTCATTTGATCAGTAGACTGATTAACTGACTGACTGAATGAATGATGATTATAACCTTTTCTAGCAAGTAAGCTAGCTAGAGATACGATGCCGATCTGTTCATTCACCTGTTTTTGCTTTTTAGTCGCGCCCGCCCAGATGTATGTAGCCGAAGTCAGGGTTGATCCCACCAAATCATCCACGGTTTTATCAGCGATCCGATCCAAATCATAATCACTACTGCATCTTCTAACGTACGGAAGATGTGGCCTCACTTCCGTAGTTTGCTGATAATCCATCATCCCATCGAGATTGTACTGCAACGCTATATGTATTCAATTGTAATTTACAAAAAGAAAAAGTAAAAAAGAAAAGGAAAAGGAAAGCAAGCTGTAGCTCTTGCAGCTGCTTAGGTTCTAGCTCATGGAAGATCCAGAGCTCAGCTCTCCCTCCTTCCCTCTCCCTCTTCCTCTCTCTCTCTCCTCTCTTTCTTTCTCTTACTGGAGAGAAACTGAATAGTTTCACCCTCACACACGCGCACCAAGCTGGATCGGTACACCGTCACATCCCCCACTGGCGGGGACATCCTTAATGGAGTACTTAACCCAGGTTTCAGTAGGAAAGTAGGGTACTAACTATACACCGGATTGCAAAACCGGGGAGGATTGGAAAATATGTAGACTAACCGTGAATGAATCAGTGATTAAAATCCAATACTTAGCTTTCCACCATGGCTCGGCCAGGTTTAGTGTCCATGGACTAGTAATGTAGACAAGACATGAGAAGTCCTCGGAACCGACCCACTCGGTGTGGTGCATCCATTCCCACTTTGAGCTGCATCGCGGACTGGACAATCATGCTAATTTCGACGGGACCGTTTTTCTCCCTTTCTTCTCTCGTTGGATCGCTCTCCCTATCATTGGCTGGGAAAAATCCCTCGTGCTAATTGAATCTGAACGCGATCCGTCCACCGTGTGTGTTCCCGTCGATACATCATGCAGTAGTGGAGAGGAGAAGAAAAAAAAAAAAGGAAAAAGCATGGGGCATCCGCCGCACCTTCAGGTTATTCCTCCTCCATCTCCCTATCCACTGGATAATATCCTGCCACCCGGAACACGGGTACTGGTGGTGGGTGGTGGATGGTGGATCCGATAGAAGGTCGATACTGTGTGTTCTGTAGGGAGTGAGGAGAGGAAACTGTGTGTAACTAGCAGTAACTGGTATGGTGTCGAGTTAGCACCTGCAGGCCATTTCACTCCCCTTCTTCTGCCCCCAACTTTTAGTTAGTCTAGCCTCGTCGCGTGGGAACTTCAAAGCTCCAAATCTCTGTGTGCGTGTGTGTTTTTTCGGGTTCGTACTACCCTGAGTGGTACAATCCTGACAAGCGACAATAGCCCCATTGCGAGACATTTGTTTGCCCAACAAAAAGAGACGCTATCTTAGCTCTCCGCAAGTCACTACTAAGTACTGACAAGTCGGTTGGATGGAGCAAGCTGCTGCTGCTGCTGCTAGGTATGCCCATGGAGCACGCTGGTTATCAGCGGATCTCCGCAAATCAACATACGGGCTATGCCTATGACATGGGCCAGGGTGGCTGTCAATCCATTAACCATCCCTACCTCTGCCCACTGCACCAATACCCAGTCAGCTACACAGTAGTACTACTCCGTACCCTCCTCTAAATCATAGTAAGGTCCGCCAACCTAAAACCTTTACGACCGAGGTCCGGTGCAGCTGTTCATGGAGAACCCACGTCATTTGCAACCCTCTTAGCGCACTGGTGGGTATCGCCTTTCGTTCAGTCGTGACAAGCCGGAGGACGTCGCTAGCCCGTCCGCATAAAGCAGGAGTGTTTGTTGCAATAGTACACCCCCGAGTGGTCGCCAGGTAGGAGTAGCGCTGCAGATGATTACCTTGCTCTCTGAGATGCCAATGATGGACATGCTCGGCAGAGCAATGACCGTCAGACGGCTTGAGAGTTACTTGACTTGCATCCTATAGTTGCTTGTTTAAAGCACTTGGGGGTACGAGAGGCGGCGTCCGACTCGGCCTGGCCTGCCGCTGTTATTGTTGTCGTTGTTGCTGCTGCCGCTCCTCCTCCTTCTTGATCAGCTCCAGAAACATTATGTGGTTTGATAAGTTTCGACATCCGTTCGCCCTTGAAGTTTGGACCCTGCTGACCTTGGCCCCCCACGAACAAATCGGGTATCTGACACCCAAATGGGGGGATGTGCATCAAGGAAAGTTGCCTCCATCGCAGACTAAGAAAAAGGCTCCGGTGGTCAAGAGAATAGGAGAGAAACGGAGAGACATTTCTTCATCTGATCGCAGGCTAAGAACACCTAAGTAAGGGGCCTTCAGAGACAGATACTACCTTTCTGCGGGTCAAGAATAGAGCCTGTTGGCTAGAATCACCACCATTACCACCAGGTGGTCCAGACAATCAGAAATAGTATGTAAGTATTAATGAAAGGTCCATGTAGCACCTTCCATTATTGGCGCGGGGAGATGTTTTGACGACAACATACATATCTAGTATGATAGTAGTGGTAGTAACATATGCTGTATGCTGTATAGTAGTATCGGTGCCACCGAGAGGGCATCCAGCCCACCTGCCCGACTAAGTAATAGCAGTGGCTGTATTTCCCGTCTGGTTAGTGGCACTTGAGCTAGCGACCCTCAGCCCCTCAATGATTGTCATAAAAGAATCTGCAGGATCGCATGAGATAAAGCAGACACGACATGGCCAGCTGTAGGCAGACAAGATATATGCTTGGCATAAGTGCGCGCACACCAGAAATGGGGTCAAAGATGGAGAAAGAGGCCACCGTGAAATGCAGCCAACGACTGGTGGGTGCTCTTCCCCTTGAAGGGGGTCAAGAGGGTTCAGGTTGGCCGCCGCTAACCACAGTATTCACTCTGGTGCAGTCCACTTATTTGATTTACTTGTATGTGTTGTTTTGGATGGATGATTTACTTTTCTTGGGGGGCGTAAATGTTACCCCTCATGCGGGTAGCATGACCCTTGAGTAACTTAAGTGATGGCTTTGGCTATCAGTTCATCAATAATCAGAATCATACTTGAAGCTGATGGTGGCTCCGCCCTGCCACGCTGGTGAGGAGCCGCCACACGAAGCTCCGGCCAAGTAACTAACTACTACTAGGTATTCAGAACCGTAATAGTAACGATAATACGCCAGGCATCCGACTACTACTTACCATACTATATTATACTATACTCGATACTAGTCGAACATCCGACCACTCGTGCTTTACGCCAGTGAGCCACCCAAGCCATCGGTCTCCCCCCCCACCCCATCATCCATGATGTGCGGGGACCGAGGGTTGGATTGAGGCTGTGCGGCATCTGCAGTGTTGTGATCCGAAATTTAAGGTCGTTCCGGAGTCAGTGACTAATCGCATCCTCGATACGGACAGCGGCTATGACACAAACGTCATGGTTCTGAGGAGGGTGGAAGGGGGATTGTGCGAGACCAAGCGAGACCAAGCGCAGAGAGTGGTCGCAAGGCGAACGTCATCCGACTGATTTTCGTGTAGCCAAATGAGGGGAAAAGTCAAGCTGGTTTGGACAAAAGAGAAAAGGAGAGTGACAATCTGCGATCCCATCGGCTCTGGGACCCATTCATGTCGCAAAGACAACTTGACAGTCGGTAACTATCTTAACTAACATTGAGTGGTTGCGCGTAAATGACGACGGGACAACGAAGCAGTTGACTGGACATCGGGATCGCTAGCAAAAAGCAACACGGAGGAAGTGGTTAGTAGCTGATGAATGTGAACGCGGAAGCAGCCCCAGTAACGGAGTATTAGCTCCAAGGATCTTCCGAATTAATCTTACATCTTACAGCGGATGGAGACTTGGTCTTGCAGGACAGGACAGCCCTGTCTTTCTTAGAAAGCAGGTAAATTGCCAGTCAGTCACTTACTACTGCCGCTGCTGCTGGAGGAGCAGAGACGCCCGCGCCACTCTGGTTTCGTGACGGATTTGCGGATTAAGCACTACGTAGAATACTAGTCACTGCTATTTTTCCACACATTAGAACTGATTATCAGGGTTCTTTTAAGGGAACAGGTCTCGACTCGAGAATAGCTGCATATGAAGTCATCGGTCAACGAATCCCTATTAAAAAAACCCTGAATAGTAACCAGCTACATTGGGGATCAAGTGCCTGGACATTTCCGAGCAGAATATTGCTCAGTGGAAACGAGTGTGGCTGCAACTGTATGATACCATACCGTTACAGTAACAGAAGGCCAACGCAGACCTGCGAACGGGAAGCGGTAGCGAGAGTGTATGGTGACTCTCTCTTGCCTTCCTCACCTTGATTTCATTGTTATTAGTAGAAGTATTACTCGATGCTGACCCGAGCCGGGAATTCCCACTAGGGGAGCACAAAAGGAGAGAAAGACAACTGATACTGATTAGATCAAAAACCCGAAAGAGAGACACACACACACATAGAGAGAGGGGGGCTGTCCTTTCTTCCACATGCGGTAACAACGGGAAAGTCCCTCATCTTTGTAACCTCAATCAGAGGCTTGTATCCGGTTCCCACAATTTGAAGATGATTAATAATAAGACCATAATAATAAAAAACGGGAAAATAATAAAATCATTTCATCGAATGGGGGTGAAAGAAAAAAAAAAGGACCTGTGGTTCCTTTAGGTAGTTGGAAGGAGAAAGAAGAGGGGACTTCCTACTAACTAAGCAAGCCCACCCCCCCATAAGTTGCTCCTCAGCTAACTATTGCTTGGTTACTTCGACCACTGCCTCCATCATCCAGAGTCTCATACTTCAGGTTAGGTTACCTGCCCGGCACCAACCTGCGACGCCCGCGGCGTACTACGGTACCAGTTAGGGTATTTCAACCTGAGCGCCCCCGGTGGACTAGGCTGAGCCTTCTTCCCTCCTCTTCCCTATTTTCTTACGAGAGCCTTTCCCCCGGGGTAATTTTCATCGGCACAACAGCTGTTTCCCTCCTGACTTTAGCGGAATTCGCAAGGCAACGAGCCAAGTCTTCTCTCTCAAGGACCCTAGTCTTGTCTGTACCGTTCCATCTGGGCATTCCCGTGCCTTGTTGCGCCGTGCTTTTTTTTATTTTTTTTAAAATCGAATTTTTCTCATTTTCATTATTTTATTATTTCTTATTTGAATTTTTCTTTGGCTGGAATTTTTATTTTTTATTTTGCCCACCCTTTTGACTAAACAAAACGGAGGGGAAAGGGAAAAAAGAAAAAAAGAAAAAGTCTTATTGTAATTTCCACAACCCAAAATCACTTTCGTCACTCTAGAAGAACAACCCCCGTCGCCTCAGGCCACCACCACGACCGACTGGGGCCACCGCAACTTTTTTCTCTCTTCCTCCCCCCCCGTCCCTCCCAACTTTCTTCTTCATCTCTCAATTTCTTTTCCATAGCCATTGTCGTTGGCCTTTGCAGCTTCGTGCTGTAGGCTTTTAATCTTCTCCCACCTTGTCACGGGGGGCATTCTTGTGCCTCTTCACCTCCGTGTACTCTTCATTTCTCACTACCGCACATGACTCCACAATCTGCTTCACCAGTACCTTCCGCAGTCTCCTCCACCGCAGCGTCACAGATCTCCTATGATTCTCGAGATGGAGAGCCCCAGGTAACACGTGCTTTAGCGGGCATGAATCTGTCCGCCGCGAACGGGGACGTCCTCCCCGTTCCTCCCACCCCCGCAAAGATCGCTAGACCTACCATGGCCAATCGCATCTCCCGCATGTTCTCCAATACTGGGAAGTCGACTCCGAAAGAGCAGGAATCGCATCGCGACTTCTCAGACAGCAGTACAGAAAGCATCAAAGCTCCCTCGAACGCCAGTATCAAACAATCCAAGCCCACCTCGAAACCCTCCTCCAAACCTAACTCCAAGCCATCCTCCAGAGCCCCCTCGCGACAGGCGTCTACGAAAGAGGAGGCCGAGAAGAAGCCAAAGTCCAGCAATGGCAAAGATAATAAAGAAGCTGCCCCGGTTCACAAACGGTTTGAGTTGCCCGGAGATGGCACTCATAACCATCACCTCCGCAGCGCAAGACGACAGGAGAAGCTGACGGATCTACTACGTGACATGCTGGGCGGTGGCAGGAAGAAGGACGATCACGTGGACGAGCAACAGCTATCGCTTATGTCTACATGGATCGACCAGTTTAAAAACGAACGGGACAAGCTGGCCGCTGACAAGAAGGGCGGCCCCAACGCCACAGCTTCGCTGGTTGACAAATATGGAAAATGCCAGGAGATTGTTGGCCGCGGCGCCTTCGGTATCGTTCGGATATCCCACAAGGTGGACCCGAGAGACTCCAAAGTTGAGCAGCTGTATGCGGTCAAAGAGTTCCGTCGTCGTCCGCAGGAGACGACTAAGAAGTATCAGAAGCGGTTAACGTCGGAGTTTTGCATCTCCTCTTCCCTTCGCCATCCCAACGTCATTCACACCCTCGATCTTCTACAGGACGCCAAAGGCGACTACTGTGAGGTAATGGAGTACTGCGCCGGAGGCGATCTCTATACCCTCGTGTTGGCGGCCGGGAAACTGGAAGTGGCCGAGGCGGATTGCTTTTTCAAGCAGCTTATGCGTGGAGTGGAATACATGCACGAGATGGGTGTTGCCCACCGTGACCTCAAGCCTGAGAACTTGTTATTGACCACCCACGGAGCTCTCAAAATTACAGATTTCGGAAATGGAGAATGCTTCCGCATGGCATGGGAAAAGGAAGCTCACATGACTGCGGGTCTCTGTGGTTCAGCCCCTTACATCGCCCCGGAGGAATATGTCGAGAAGGAATTCGACCCTCGAGCGGTCGACGTATGGGCGACGGGCGTCATTTACATGGCCATGAGGACCGGACGCCATCTCTGGCGTGTGGCCCGTAAGGACGAGGATGAATTCTACCAACGCTATTTGGAGGGTCGTAAGCATGAGGATGGTTACGCTCCCATTGAAACTCTGCATCGGGTAAGTGTTTGAGCGGACCCCCTCGCTTCAAGTTGACACTGGCTCATAACGTCTCCCAGGCGCGTTGCCGAAACGTAATCTACTCTATTCTGGATCCAAATCCTTCCCGCCGTATCAATGCCTCGCAAGTCTTGAAATCCGAGTGGGTTCGTGAGATCAAGCTGTGCAAGGCTGGTGAGGAGGGATACTGATACATGGTCTCGACGGATTGATCGGACGTTGTTCCGGGCTGTGTATCCCTGATGGTGGTCTGCCTGTTTCTGTTTGTCTGCCTTTGGCGACTGCTCAAAAACCATTAACCCGGGCGGTTTATGTGTTTCCCCCGTTCCTTTTGGGAGGGTTGTCTATTCTATTTATTCCCGGTCCTTCTGAGCTGTTCTATAGAAGGAGGCACCTTTGATTTTACACTACTATACCGGCGCATGTTTCCTGTCTTCCATCTTTTTCATCATCTGCCTACTAGCTTATGGGCTTAGTTTGGTCGTCATGTTTTCATGCCAATGCAACGAAGAGTCATGACCTATGAGCCACCTTTCCATTTCTCCCGCTTTTTCATTTTCGCCATGGTTCTATTTTTCTCCTACGTTCGATACCTTTTCTTGTCGCATTTCATGCATCTCAGGCATTCTTTGATTGGTCTCATTTCCCGATATGCGTTTTTAATGGGCCTTGTCAGTGGCTGAATGACAAATACCGATAGGGGAAAGTTCTCTTTCTGCCCGGGTTATGTTGATCATGCTGGCTGTTTTTTTACCTCTCTTGTTCTGGGTCTGGGCGCGCATATATTTATCCTCATCGACGGTGTTGGAGCATTATGGGTTCTGTGAGATGTAGCATCGGGAGGTTGTATTAGTATGGGCGGTGTGATTTATCTTGGGATACCCCATTTGCAGCACATAATCCAGTATAACAATGAGCCTCCGCATCTTATTTTGAAAATACACCTGCGCATTGTTGAGATTTGGAGCATCATTTCTAGGAAGGCGTTTTGGGGGTGAGCCGGCGGGAGTCATGGTGAGTTGGCCTGACACTGCAGAAACAGGAAGTATGGTGGCTTGCTCGATGCTTCCTCCTTAATCTCATCGTATATGATTTTCCCCATTCATCAGCCTTTCCTTCCCCGTGCGATTATTCCCGGAGTAGACGGACTCATGGCTCGACCCTACCGACAGACCTCGGGTCCGAACCAAATGGCGGTAGTATCATTTAGGAGCTCGATGACCGACTGGAGTACAGTTGGCAGCGTCTGCTTGGGCTCGGAAATATGGAGCCTCCCACACTCTACAGTCCTTTTCCCCCCTTTCCCAGTCGGTCGGCCGATATCTGATGATGATGACTATGACTCTTATGGGCATCTCAACATTTGTTAGCTGCCCTTATTTTACTTGCTGCTGGATACCATGCCTACCCCGACTTCTGAGGGGAAGAAAAAAGCTACATTTTCCGATCATATAATCATGCAAGCAGCAACGGGCCCTGTGCAAGGTAGGCCAGCTTCTGGCTCTCCCTTCTGAACAGCTGGAAATGGTTACACGCCGACGTCTGCAATAGGGCGAACCTTCTTCCAGCAAGCCAAAGGGAAAAAAGAAAAAAATTCTGACTTCAGGATGGTGAAAGGTGTGGATCCATCCAATAATGTTTGCATGAGGGGCATTTGAATCAGAAAGTACAACTAGCATAGAGGCCGATGCGTGAGCGACTTGTTACTATTTGTCTTGGGCCCATACTTCTATCGATGCCAAGATCTCCTAGGCAGCCAAGACGCACAGCATTCTCCCATCCTCCAACACTCCATGCCGAACCAATGGTTAAGAAAACCGGTCTGGAGGTCTGGAAGACTCCATTTCATGTACCTAGGTACGCCTGAGATGGGCGTGTGCATCAGATGCATCAGGTGCCTCAGGTAGGCCGGCTGTCCAATCAATAGGGGTCATTACAACAAAACATGCGCCGTACGGAGCTGCAAACGGAGGAGACGCCGGACGCGAGCCAGATCAAGCTTGCTTGGCGCATTATGCAGCCCCAAAAGGAACGCGAGCCCGTAGTTCAATAGGAACCGATCCTCGGAGGAAGGCTAGCTTGCTGAAACCCTGGACTGGTGGAGCTCGAACAGCTCAGCAGCGCTCAGCAGGTCTGTCTGTCTGTCTGTTGGAATCGATAGGTATTTTGTGTGTCCGCTAGCTTTCTGATCGTTTTGTCCGTTCGACGACACAAACACACCACTGCATATCTATCTTGTAGCACCTTTTTCTCTTGTCCTTATGTATCAATGACTAATTTCTCCTGACCGTCTTCGACTCAATCCAAGCATGCATGATTCATCCCCCTTTGTTCGAGCCATTGCCCGATCCCGTAGTGGAATGCCGCCCTCGGCAGTCTGGCCAGCCCTATGCAGTTGGCCTCGCCCAGAAGGATCACGCCGTGCAACTTGGACAGGCAGCACCATTTTTTACCTAAGCCGAGAAACTAATTATGGGCAATCCAGGGCCGCCAACGACCACGACCCTGAAGGCAAGGAACACCCACTTGAAGGCCGAATTGGAAATCAGGTGGATGTCAACCATGCAAGGCTGGCCATACTAACCTCATGGAGCAGGATTTGGGTCTGGATTCCAAACTAAAGGAGGTCCCAATGTCGATTATACTTGGCAAATTGTCTCTCATTGCGAAGTCAATTTGGTGCCCTCTTCTTTGTATACCATGTACAATCAACGCATACCTGGATTTTCAGGGTGCGGGTATGTCCAATGAAGTTGTTGCTAATTGGTTTTCACAATAGGATTGATTCCCTGGTGTATTGATCCATCATCTTCAGGAATGCTGGAGCGATGAACACTGTCTCGCTCCGTCATTGGTAGACCTTGCGGTCTTTGAGGATGGCTCTGACAAAACGCGGATAGACGCGGATTGCTGCGCATGAATAATATGCTCGTCCTAGTATACGATACCCGCGGCATAAGAAGCATCGAGCTGCAGGTGATTTTGAATAGTGTGCGCTTGTCTAAGGAGTATTGAACGCGTGAAGAATGTTTGTGTGACCACAAACATTGAGATCAGGGTTTGCATGTACCCCATACTTTTTCGCTTACAACTTCTACTTGTCACTTGACAGAATCTCGATGCACTCCAGATGAATGCTACACTATTACATGAAGTCTAATGCCATCGCATGAAATGCATTATGCGGCATGAAGATGATGTTGTAGTATCGATACATTCTGATTGCCCCATAGGGCAACAGAACATCGAAACTCCGATGTAGCTTGTGTCACATTAAGATGGTCGCCCGATTCTGGCTGGCATCATGACGTCTCTAGCTACATCCAAAGTTGTACTCAGGCACAAGGCGAACCCACCCCCTTTCCTCTTTGACATCACCATCCCTATCTTTTGGAGAAAGACTCGAATTGCAGGCTGCCAAATTCCATTAATTACATGGAGGGGAGGGGCCGGCCTCCATGACGTCAGAAACGAGCAGAACCGGCAGCTCGGAAGTTCAAAACGGCTGTTTCGTAAACTTTCGCGGGTAATTTTACACATTCCATTTCGTAGGGCTGTAAGTTAAAAACCGAACAGTAAGATTTAGTAAATAATCGTGACACAGCCACGGAAAACAGGCAGAAAAGTGCACAGCCACAGCCACGCCAATCAATCAATCGATCAATCGAACGTCTCCGAACATCATTCCGTCCCGCATCGGGCATCTTGCTTTCTGAGGGCCTTTCGCATTCATTCAGTCAACACAGTGCCTAATCCCCCCCTTCTCCTCACATTATACACCTACTATATCCAGCAACCCACTCTGTCCTCCACCTAACGGAGTTACCGGTTCTTTGATCTCGAACATACACACACACACACCCCCCCCCCCCCCCCCCCCCCCCCCCCCCCCCCCCCCCCCCCCCCCCCCCCCCCCCCCCCCCCCCCCCCCCCCCCCCCCCCCCCCCCCCC